ATACGATACCTGAAGAATCAGATATTCGTGTGAACCCATAACTTGAATGTTTTTTTCTTTCTTTATAACTTGTCCCTCCTTTTGCAATTGCACGATAAGGCAACAGGATTTCATACATTAGCTATATAGGTGGATTAAAATACAATGGGAAAAAATCCTAAGAGGTTTCTGTGTGTCGACGTCATGGATTCGTTGCTTCATATCATCAAATTTAATTGTCATAGATGTGTTCATTGAAATGGTCATCAAATCTGTAACCTTCTTTTCTACTCGAAAGGCTATAGGTCGTCAAGAAATTAATGTCGCGTTTTGAACACTTTCATTACCCCCCCCCAAAAAAAAGAAAAAACGTACATCACATATAATAGTTAAACGAATCGCCTAAACGTCACGTTAGTGTAGCCTATATAATGTGTAAACTTTAGTATTACTCTAATACCTTATAGTGATGGCACACGACGAGACACACGTTTGGCATGTAATGCTGTTTGAATACAAGAAAGGAAACAACGCCTCTGTAGCCACAAAGAATACCAAAGAAGTTTATGGAAATGCTTTGAACGCTCGTAAGTGTCAACGATGGTTCAGCAAATTTCGTTCAGGTGACTTTAGCCTTAAAAACTGTGATAGCAGGGGCCGACATGTTGAAATTGATATTGATGCTCTGAAGACGCTTGTTGAGTCTAACCCAAGGCAACGCACTCGTGGAATGGCCCTGAATTGCATGTCTCTCATGAAACGATATGTAAACATCTAAGTAATGTGGGAAAACTCCATAAAGAAGGTGTTTGGGTGCCTCACGAACTCTCCGATGATCATCGTTTTCAACGTGTGAATGTTGCTTTGTATCTTCTGGCGTGTAATGCGCGTGAACCATTTTTGACAGAAATGTCACCGGTGATGAAAAATGGATTCTCTTTGCGAATATTAAACGCCAAAAACAATGGCTCAGTCCTAAACAAATACCAATTCCGACACCAAAACCTGGACTCCGTCCGCAGAAAGTGATGCTTTGCATTTAGTTGGACATCAAAAGAGTAATTCATTTCGAACTCCTCAATCCACAGCGAACTGTCAATGCAGTGATCTATAGTCAGCAACTGGACCGTTTAATTCGAGCCCTTCATCAGAAATACCCTTCACTGGTCAATCGGAAAAATGTTCTTCTTCTCCACGACAATGCACGTTCACATGTGGCACGTTTGACGCAACACAAGATTATAGAGTTGGGTTGGGAAGTTCTCCCCCACCCACCATATTCTCCAGATATGGCGCTATCATATTACCATCTTCTTCGTTCGCTGCAACACCATCTTAATGGGGAAACGTATGCAAATGTGGAAGGTGTTAATAAGGACATTGACATTTTTTTTGCTTCAAAGCCAAGTGATTTGTTTCAGCAGGGCATTAACAACCTGATTGTAAGACGGAAAAACGTCATGGAATAAGAATGGGGTCTATTTCACTCAATGAATGTTTTGTTTTGATATATAATTTGTTTGGGTTTTTTCATCTAAAAAAACGACATTAATTTCTTGACGACCAAATAGTTTCGTATGATTTTCATGATACAGATTGTTTGTTGAATATACAAACTAGAAATTGTCCTTCAATTATGAGATAATACTAGAAACTACTAGTTTCGTTACTTGTTATTACATAGAAGTAAAAGAATTAGAGGATAAAACTTCTTTGATTTAGGAAATGCTACGAAGATAGTATTATTTTTTTTAAGTTTTATCAGTAATGTTTTGGTGCCAGCATTAAGAAGAAAGAAGGGTTAAAAAACTAAGTTCTTCCACTCCTAATAATGTTGGGTCGCCACGAAATGTACCGTAAGAAGGAATTGTGGAGAAGTAATAACGAAGACGACCGGCTGTGAGAGCTTATCGAGCAAAATTAATGTCCTTAGAATTTTTGGAGAAAATCCAGAAAAGCATCGACATTGTTGTATTAAGGCCTTCCTTTGATCAAGAGATCAGTTGTTTAACGAGAAAAGCTGTGAGTAGATAGATATACAATTCAAAATACTTTTATTCTACACGCCCTACTTAAAGTATTATTAAACATTTCCAAATTAAAGATAAGTAAAAGCAACGTCTTTTACCGTAGAACCACTTTATTCGAATAATCCAAGCATTGCTTAATAAACGTTATAGTGGGATAATTTTGAGAGTATTAATACTAAATAGGTGTAAAAAAAAACTCCTCAAAAATAGGAAAGTTAAAATGTCTGACACGAAAGTCAAAATTACAAAGTTATTCAAATGACACGTTCTGGATTCTTGTTTAGTGGTAAAGATCTAACAGTATCAAAGTACATTCTGTAAGTTGCTATAAGAACAGTACGTAAATAACTAAACCAGGCACAATTTTTTCCTATCCATATTCATATAAGACGTAATCTAGCTGGGATTCTGAGAATCATATGGATGGGAACAATAGAGCGATTCTGAGAATCATATGGATGGGAACAATAGACGTTACGTGGCCATAGTATGAATTTTTGGTAACTAATGCTAATATGTTGTGTATTGCGAAAGTTATATATAGTGAAAAATTACATTTGGAACCACTTGGAATTTGCGCTAAAGAATCTCAAGAGCAAAATATAATTGATGATGTACTTAGATGAACATTTTTAAACATTTAGTTAAATAATTTAAAACTTCAAAAATAAAAATTTGTAAATAAAATTTAAGATAAAACGTGCTTAACAATCTTTAGGAGATCAAGTACGAGTATTAGAGTTGTATAAACTTCTGAACTGAGAACGTGCTAGCCTATTTCTTACGTCAAATCATTTCTGTAGACTCGTATAGCAATAAGATTTCAACTTCTCGTCGTTCCTTACCTGGAATACACATTTCCCCTGTTGCGTCGGAATGACTTTTGTAGCCCTCTTCACAGCGACATTCTCCGCCTGAGTTACAGATGGCGTGGTCGTTATAATAGGAGCAGGATTCCGTGTGTTCACACCTCTCCCACAATCTCGCACCTGGAAAACAAAACGAAAAATATTTCTGAAAGTTTTGATGTGTTTTCTGTTGTTTGACCTAACACTATTCTTCATATTTACCGTATTGGAGCTCGATGTATGCAGTTTTTCTGTAAAAACGTGTTTACAGAAAAACAGCATACACATTTTTCTTTCTCAAATATCTGTTACTTTGTACTATAGATCAAGTATTACTAGTTTCGCAGATCATTATATGCCTTTCACTCTTAAATCTTTTTAATCTCAAATCCTTCCTCATTTACAAACCATTATATGCCTTTTCCTCTCGAAGCTTTCCTCATTTACAAATCATTATACACCTTTTACTCTCAAATATTTCCTCATTTACCGATCATTATATACCTTTTACTCTCAGATATTTCCTCATTTACCGATAATTATATAAATTTTACACTCAGATATTTCCTCATTTATCGATAATTATATAAATTTTACACTCAGATATTTCCTCATTTACCGATCATTATATACCTTTTACTCTCAGATATTTCCTCATTTACCGATAATTATATAAATTTTACAGTCAGATATTTCCTCATTTACCGATAATTATATAAATTTTACACTCAGATATTTCCTCATTTACCGATCATTATATACCTTTTACTCTTAAAGCTTTCCTCAATTAAGAACAACCCTATTTTAGGCTAAAGCAGAAAAAATAGGGGAAAAATAGTATAATTTAGTTCCATTACAACTATAAGCTATCTCCCCCGGTGGGACAGCTGTAAGTCTTCGGATTTATAATATTAAAATCAGGGGTTGGATTCCCCTTGGTGGACACGGCAGATAGCCCAAATTAGCTTTGCTATAAGAAAACACACACTATAATCTATACGTATATATTTATGTCTCATAATAACGATATTCATTATTGTGAATTGTAAGTTTATGTTACTCAAACATTTGATTAAGATGGGAGAGTAAATAACTCAAGAATTCTGTACGTACAGGAACTATAGCCATTTGGATGGTTTATCAGTAGTTGATACCTTTTCTGTTAATTTTGAAATGGATATGCTCTGACCAACGTACTATGTAAAAAACTTACACTACCAAGACATAAATTCACACCATTTCGTACTTTATAATGTTAGATAACGAACTTCAAAGTAAGTACTATTGCAAACCACTAATTAAACAAGGCCATATCCGTGATTCTATAATAGTGAACGTTGGCAATAAATCTCGAAGTTATTTACAAAAATAAAAAGTTTCAGCAGAGTTGATTCGAAATGCTTTTGAAAATTTACAGAAAACTTATCTTTTGGCCTTTAGTAAATAGTGAGATCCACATATAAGTTTTACGTTTTGTGCAAACTAACTTTAATTTAGCAATGTTAACGCATATGTATCTTTTAAAGGACAGAAATGTGTATTAGTATATATATATATCGATTCTATTAAAAATACACTAATTATATTTACTTCAGTATGACTGAGCTAGAAACGTATTTTGTGAAGTATGAACAGCTACAAAATCTGAAAATTCACTCATGTTACATACCTTTAACACAAAACTTGTTATCGACGATTGCAGGATATTCCTTCAGGCACTCACATTTCTTTGAAGTTAAGTTACAATAAATGTTATATAAAATATCATTACAAGTGTGTTCACAAGGCTCTCCAATGAAGAAAGCGACACCTAGAAGAGAAGAAATAAGTTATATTTTGTTTTATGCTTTAATGAACTTAAATTAATTTCTAAAACACCACACATGTTTTTGTTTCGTTTCTGTTACATAATGAAGATGGTAGAAAGGCTCTTATTTGAATTTTTATTTCATATATGCAGGTTAGTTTTAATTACTGTTTTACTGAAGAATATACCCACAACCTGTTGCTAAGCTGCGAAACACGTTTTAGTAACTTCATACTTTCAACCAATAAAAATATGGAGATAGGAATTAATGTAACACAAAACAATAAACTTAAAAAGAAAACATGTTTTCTTGAAATGATATAAAATATTTTCAATTAAACTTCAAGCCAACGGCATGATAGGTTTAACAATAATTTAAAAAGCATAACAGTGTCACCAATGTCTAAGAAATACAACAACAATAGCAACCAGTTTGTTATAATAAGCACAGTCCTTTAAGAAACGAAACTTGCATCTTACGTAACGCTTGTGCTAAATCTGTGTTAAATACCAGCCTTTGAAGGCAAGACGAACATTCCCCTAAATATATCAAACAACAACACTGACATTTAACTCATAAAACATCAACACAAGTGTCTAATAATAAACAAACAAATAAAAACATATGTAATAGACAAAACAACAAAATAAGTATGTAAGAGATAGAACACAAACAATGGTATGAATAGCTAGTTAGCTCAATAACATAAATATATAATAAATAGAACAACAACAATGATATCTAATAGACATAACAACCACATTGCTATGTAAGAGATAGAACACGAACAATGGTATGAATAGCTAGTTAGTTCAATAACCTAAGTATATAATAAATAGAACAACTAACAATAATATCTAATAGACATAACAACCACATTGCTATGTAAGAGATAGAACACGAACAATGGTATGAATAGCTAGTTAGCTCAACAACATAAGTCTGTAATAAATAGAACAACAACAATAATATCTAATATACATAACAACAACATTGGTATGTAATAGGTACAACAACAGCGATAGTATTTAATAGATAGAACAACATTCTTCTCTATGATATAAAATAAAAGAGTGACAACTAATATACATAACAACTAGACAGGTATTCAATAATTATGAAAGCAACATTGATATCTAATAGATCAAAAACAACACTCGTATTTAGAGGAATAAAACAAGTTGAGTATCAAATGGACAGAACAAAAAAGATAAGCATCTAACAGATATAACAACATTGTTATTGCGTAATAGATAGAGCAACAACACTAGTACTTAATAGATAGAACATTAACATTGATTTTTAATAGACAAAACAAGAATGCCAATTTTTTTTTATAAACCACATCAACAACATTATTATTTTAATAGTTAGAGCAACAACATTTTCATTTCCTAGATATAATAAGAAAAAGGTACTTAAATAGATACATTACTGGTTCCTAACAGACTAAACCACAATAACAGTATCTAATAGAACAACAAGACAGGTATCTAGCAGACACCAAGACAATATGGGAGTCTAATAGACAGAACAAAAAGACAGGTATCTACTAGACAGAACATAAGCTCAGGTATCTAATAGAAAGAAGAACAATACAGGTATCTAGCAGACACAAAGACAATATGGGAATCTAATAGACAGAACAAAAGGACAGGTATCTACCAGACAGAACATTAACTCAGGTATCTAATGGACAGAATAACAAGACAGGTATCTAGCAGACACCAAGACAATATGGGAGTCTAACAGACAGAACGAAAGGACAGGTATCTACTATACAGAACATCAGCTCACGTATATAATAGACAGAGCAAAAGGACAGATATCTACTAGACAGAAGAAAAGGACAAATATCTACTAGACAGAAGAAAAGGACAAATATCTATTAGACAGAAGAAAAGGACAGATATCTATTAGACAGAACATTAGCCCAGATATCTAATAGACAGAACAACGAGACAGATATCTAGCAGACATAGAAACAATCTGGGAGTCTAATAGATAGAACAAAAGGGCAGGTATCTACTACAGAAAACATCAGATTAGGTATCTAACAGACAGAACAAAAGGACAGGTATCTACTAGACAGAACATCAGATTAGGTATCTAACAGACAGAACAAAAGGACAGGTATCTACTACAGAACATCAGATCAGGTATCTAATAGACAGAACAAAAGGACAGATATCTACTACAGAGAACATCAGATTAGGTATCTAACAGACAGAACAAAAGGACAGGTATCTACTAGACAGAACATCAGATTAAGTATCTAACAGACAGAACAAAAGGACAGGTATCTACTAGACAGAACATCAGATTACGTATCTAACAGACAGAACAAAAGGACAGGTATCTACTGGACAGAACATCAGACCATGTATCTAATAAACATCACAGAGACGGATATCTAATAGATACAACATCAATAGAACAACACAACATTTGTAAGAGATAGAACGGTAATTCTAGTATTTTGCACACTTACTAACAACACTAGTGTGTAACAAATATAGCAAAAACACTGGTATCTAAAACAGAGAATATTGCTTTGATCATTGGTTAGTTCTCTGTCAAAAGAATAAAGTATTTTTGTAATGTGGATTATCTATTTTTACCTCTTATCTTTCTTAATACTTAAAATCTATTTATGAAAATTTCCATGTTTATGTTTTTAACTCCAGTATTCCACGTTTTTAATTTTATCTGCTTAACATTTTCTTTCTTTTTTAATCAATCTTTATATCTCACCTTTATTTTACTTTAACAATATTTGTATGTAACAGATTGATGAACAACTTTGTATCTAATAGATCAAACAAGATATACATCTAATAGAACAACAAGACAGGAATCTAATAAACATAAGAACAACACTGTTATGCAATAGATACAACAACAACAACACTAATATTTAAAAGATGAGCGACAACAACACTGGTCATCTGATATATCGAACAACATGATCAGTTATATAACAGATACAACAACAAAACTGATCAACTAATATATCGAACAACAAGATCAGTTATATAACAGATACAAGAACAACACTGGTCGCCTGATATATCGAACAACATGATCAGTTATATAACAAATACAACAACAACACTGGTCATCTGATATATCGAACAACATGATCAGTTATATAACAGATACAACAACAACACTGGTCGCCTGATATATCGAACAACATGATCAGTTATATAACAAATACAACAACAACACTGGTCATCTAATATATCGAACAAGATCAGTTATATAACAGATACAAGAACAACACTGATCATCTGATATATCGAACAACATGATCAGTTAGATAACAGATACAACAACAATACTGGTCGCCTGATATATCGAACAACATGATCAGTTATATAACAAATACAACAACAACACTGGTCATCTAATATTTCGAACAGCAAGATCAGCTATATAACACATACAACAACAACACTGGTCACCTGATATATCGAACAACAAGATCAGCTATATAACAGATACAACAACAACACTGGTCACCTGATATATCGAACAACAAGATCAGCTATATAACAGATACAAGAACAACACTGGTCACCTGATATATCAAACAACAAGATCAGCTATATAACAGATAAAACAAAAGCACTGGTATCTACTAGATGGAACAATAACATTGTTTTCTAACAAACGGGGAAAATCATCTCTGTCTAAAAGGCAGAACAGCAACAATAGAATACAACTGAACAAAAACACGTATCCAATGGATGTAGTGACAATACTAGCATCAGTTAGATAAAAAAATGAAAATGATATCTGATAAATTGAATAATAATAATACTGCTGTATACCAGATAGAACATCAATCAATATTAATATTTAATAAATACAACAACTCTATAAAATTTGATATAAAATCAACAACTCTAGTATCTAAAAGACTGGATAATAAGACATTTGTCTAATAAAAAGTATCTAATAGATAGAATGTGTACTATAGCAAGTATGGTATTTAATAGAATAAAAACAATACTAATATCCAACAAACATAACAATACTAATATCCAACAAATATAACAAGACAAGAAAAACAGATTTCTAATAGATTGAAAAACAAAACAACTTTGTTGTATAATAGACAGATCATCCATTTTAATTATTATTAGATACACCAACACAAACACTAGTATCTTATAGCAGAAGGTAGATATCAATGTCCAATAGACTAACCAAGAAAACCAGTATATAATATATACTGAACATCAAAATAACTTTGATGTATGATGGATGGAAGAACAATATAGATGTTTAATACGTAGAAGAACAATATAGATGTTTAATACATAGAAGAACAACAATGATATCTAATGGACAGATTAACAATTCAAGGATTTAATAAATACAGCTCTGGTATTTAATAACTAGAACAGCAACCTTGATACCTATTATACAGGAAAAACAATGCCTGTATCTAATAAATATAATAATTAATTCGGTAGACATTAAATAGAGGCTGAGTACGTTATATTAAAACGATTTGGGGACCTCACCATGTTGTTACAGTCTATGTCGCCACAACTGGTCAGGCACTGTTTGACGACTGTGCATCTTGACATTAACCCTACAGAGTATTTTTTTTTATTTCAAACACTTCGTCGTAAGGCTATTGTGTCTAAAACACGCCCCTCCTCCGTACGAGAAAAACAGTTTCCCAGCGCCCGTTCCAACAGTACAATCAATTGGTATGGAATAGCATGAATACTCGTTTCATTTTCCAGCTGCTTGAGGTATGCGATGGTTCAACGGATATGTTGTGGAAGTAAGTTATATATATATATGACTTGACCGTTTTTCCAGAGAGAGATTTATATTGATTATTTGCTTGAGACACGTGTACAGCCTTTGCTATTGACACCACAGTTTGCTTACCACGGCTGGAGTACGAATTGTTGCAGGTTACTTCTGGGTAGTCCTGGTGCCCCAAGTTGATCCATATTTCTTTATTTTCCAGTGCCGTTAAGTACAATGGTTATTCCTGTCTTAAAAATTCCAAATACTTGATTTGAATACATTTTTCTGATCTCAGTGTATGAATATTTTTCATCGGAAAGGGCTGTTAAATATCTTTCTGAAAAATGATCAACTTTCGATACTATCACATTCCTACACGATGCCAAACAATGTCAAAATATAGTTATGATATTTGCCATTCTACTGCGACTCTATATTGGCATAGGTCATCATGTGATTAGCTTATTTGCATTCTCTGTACTGAACTCTCAATACAACTGGTATTTATTAAACAAAGTAATAAAACTAGTGTGAATGAGCTCAACATCAAAATTAGTATCTAATAGAAAAACAACAACTATGTTAACTGATAAAAGTAATATAACAATATCTAATAAATATAACAACACTTGTATCTAATAAACGGGACAGCAAGACTGGAACAACTAGATTAAACCACAATACTGTATAAAAATAGAACATTAACATCAGTATTAATAGCAACAGTGGAAGAATAACAAAATGGGTATTTAACAAATAAAACATGTTGCGTAATAGATAAAACAACATTGGTATGTAAAAGACAGAACGACACTGGTATTTAAAAGACATAGCAGCAAGACATTTATCCAATAGATAAAATAACAACACTCATGTTCCATTGATGGAACAACAACTGTTATAATAGAACAATACTTATGTCTAATAGAGGTATCTAATTTATTTATAGTTAAAATACAAAATATCTACTAATAGTTTCCAAGGTTTAAAATATTTCAATATTTATCTATAACAGTCTATATTATAATTATGATCGACAATGTCATTGTACGTATATTAACGAAGATATTAACAACTAAAGTTACAATGTATAATAGTAATTGACCGTGACGGTTTGTACTCTTTGATAACTCAGTGTCAGAGAATTGGCCCTGTTAATCAAAGGCATCGAGTTCCGGTCCGGGAATAATTTTTCACTTATTGGCGTTTTCACTTAAAATATTGATTTTTTTTTTCTAACAGTCTTTATAATAATAACATTCAACAATGTTATTGCACGTATAGTAAATGACATAGTGACAACTAAAGATTATGATTTGTTTATAAAATGTATAAAGAAATTTAGAACAACATATATTAATAAAATTATAATCAGAAGTACGTCCACCACAAATGGGCTTCACGAAGTATATATTAAACATGTATTATCTAGGAACAGTTTTTTCAGACATTTATACTATTTTATTTTCTTATCACATTTTTTTCCCAAAATAATCAGCGTTACTTTAGCATTATCATTCGCTTGAAATTAGTCAAGTTTTAAAACGAAAACCCAGTTTTTAAATTACACATTATACTTAAAACTCAAGCAAATTGTTTCACGTGAAATGAGAAGGAACTTAATTTTCAAATTAAATCACAAATCTGTATTCACTGACTAATATCAATAGTGGAAATTGTTCAGAATTCCCTATCTTGTAACCAGACCGTGTTTAAAATAGTCTGACGAAATGAATACCCCGGTTTCTAATACCAAACATTGACTCATAGCATCTGGCAACATTTCCCAGTTACAATTTTACCCAGACAATGTAGTGTGAAGACAAATGTCTCCCAGGCTTGCTTTGATTCTTTAATACTATGATGATTCATCTCGGTGAATAAGCTTTGACAGAAAAAAACAAAAACAAAAAAAGAAAAATAAATTCAACTTCTCTCGGGTAACTGAAAATAAATCATAAACCAAGACGCTTCGCTTATTCAAGTGAAGAAGTGAAACATCTTGGTTAACGATTTGTTTTCTCTTACCTGAAGGAGAGAGAATTTAAAATTTCTTCAGTTGCTTAGGGAAATATTCGGCCTTCCTCGTCAAATACGGACAAGAAAAGAATAAACAAGCAACATGCAGAGTATCGTGGTGGAATCATGCAAATGATAAAAACATGCTTTCAGTAATTATCAAATGTGAGGAGAGAGAAAGGCTACAACCATCGTCTTGAGTAGTTTGATAAAAGAAGGAAAAAAAGTCCATCTTTAGTTTTGAAAGTGTAATAAATTTACTTCTCGGAAACTTCGTGAGACTTCTCTCTCAGTAAGCATCGGATTATGTGACTATTGTACGTCCTTCTCGGAGTAAGAATGTTTCAAAATAGTATTGTTTTTCTTCTTAGCGAAGAGATAAGCAGTTATAACTAACAAAAATAAATGCTCGAAAAGCCCAATGGGTAGCCTTTCCAGAAATTAATTTTTAATGGGCTAAAATAGATAAGCTTTATAGTATGTTTCTGGTGCAAAAATGTTAGAAGATCCATATGTAAATTTGCAAATGAAATATTTATTCCAAGGTTTGCTTTAGTACTCCAGAAGTCTCCGAGAAATAAGAAGACAGTAGAGGAAAGTAAAGGTGCTTCAACAAAGCGGGGTACTTACCCCTTCCATAGGCACTCTTCGCCATCACGGTTTCTATGAGGAGGTGGAAGCATGCCGGTAAACCACACCACACAACAAGAAGAGTGGAGGAAAGACAAAGAGGAACCATTAGTTACGACACTGATTACAACAGGTAGCTGCTTTGTACACACTAATCACAATTAACAAAGGTTAGATCACAAAGGGTACACAATGCGTAACAAGTAGTAGTATGTATATAGCCACAATGAAGCTTTCTTCACAAGCCACAAAAGCCATTAACATTGAGGAAGTTGATTACAATCACACCAATAATGACATCCTATAAATATTTAAAAGGTAGTTCAGATACAGAAAAATCGTGTCACTAGGTGGTCTCACAATTTCAGCCTTAGGTTAGAAATAGAAATTGTATGTAATATCAGTTTTACTTTACATAATTCAAGTCATATATATATTTTATTTTATCTTATTCACTTAGATCATAACCTTTACTTCATTTAACTTTTAATATGCGAAACGAGAAGAAGCAAGTAAGGTACAAATTAGACAAAGTACGTTAAGCCTGTATGGGGAAAACTTTAAGATCAAAGAACAAAAAATTCCTTTTGTAAATGAATTATTATTTTCTCTGTACAATACTATGTATCTTAAATAGAAAAATGTTTCTTCTTTATAAGATTACAATTAGTGATTCGATAAAAAAGATTTGTTCAAATTTAATTGTCATAGATGTGTTCATTGAAACGGTCATCAAATCTGTAACTTTTTTTTCTACTCGAAAGGCTTTAGGTCGTCAAGAAATTAATGTCGCGTTTTAGAACACTTTCATTACCCCCCCCCCAAAAAAAACGAAAAAAAACGTACATCACGTATAATAGTTAAACGAATCGCTTAAACGTCACGTTCTTAGTCTTAGTCTTAGTTACTCCCGTTCCGTTGGGAACATTGGTCAGCGAGACCTCGCCATCTGCCTCTGTCATGAGCG